ACGGAATCCGTCATCCACTCAGCTTATTGTCATCTCACTGAAAGTGCTACGACGCTGATTTTCAATGGATCCGGGTCCAAATTCAATTTGTATTTCAGCAGCTAAGGTACACAGTACCAGTACAATATTAATATAACTTTATACATAGCTTAGAATAATAACGCATAGAATGATAGTTTCATATCAAACAAACTGTCACAAGTGAGGCAAAAATCAAATTCATGTAGGCTAGTGTTAGTAGTAGGTTAATTTTCGGTTATAGTAAATATTTATACAAAAATACAAGTTGAAACGCGTTACGTCCTTGTGGAATGTGATGTTAGTATCTATTTTATGTTTGTCTGACGTATTTTTACACTCATTTACCGCACATTTCGTCATTTTTAGCTAAAATTCTTGAGCTGTTCGCGGTGCAAGTTGACCTTGCGCACTGACAGCCCGCTCGCTCGTGTAGGCCCATTGGGAGCGCTTAAATTTGCCTCACTTAGCGTGTGAGGGCTAGGTTTCTATGCGTTATTATTCTAAGATACACAGTATATTATAGTCACATACTATTTTTGTACAGTCCTTTGACACTTGACCTATCGGCGCAGTAAGGGCCGTCCCGCTCGCGGAGGAGGCCGTTGTGTCGCCCTGCATTTTAGGACTACCCACTACCTCACTATGGCATTAAGGCCATTGTATCAAATAAGGTTATTACTTTATGAATATTCTAACGAATAATTGCTCCTTGTACCACTTTGACGGAATTGTATCTTGTTACTGCATTTTTAAATAGGTATATTATTTGGACCAAATTCGAACACTATGATATACTTATGTTCTGTAGACTATAAATCATTTCAGTACAATAAATATAGGCAGGGGTATTTTAAATTTGTTTACTTAGCGTCCTAATTATTGAGCCGTAGATATTAAAGATACAATATATTCATGGTGTCACCAAATCGTCATACCCATGATAACAAAATGTAAAATAGTATCAGTAGAGCTCCTTGTGAAAGAGTTCGTTCAGAAAAGTACTGCCACCTTACCAATTCCTGCCGCCAAGCAGTTATGTGGTCATTTTGTATGGAGAAATCACATGTTTTTTGTCACATTTTCATATTTCGTTGTTACATTCCATATATTCATTTCATCTACTAAGTACGAATTTGTGAAGATGCACAAATAAGGGCAGAAACTTTGTTGAAAATACAACGTGATAACAACGACATTATAATGCGGAATTGCAGTTCAGTAGTTCAACATGCCAAGGACATACTATACGGCTTTTCTGAAGTAGTAACACCTTTCTAAAGTCCTCTTGTAACGCAAAGCAAGCTTCGATCACACACCGGCTAACTTGATACAACTTTGAGCACTTAGAATACTTTCAAACTTCCGACGTTTACTTCCAGATATTCTAAACGCTGGGCTTAGCACGTAACACTATTTATTTGACCTTGAAGTATGACATGATTGCGGCGCGTCACGACACTGTTAAAAGTGTCAGCCGTGACCATGGGACCTAAAGACCCCGAAACATTCGTTTGTTTGAAAAAACAAATATGCGCAATGTTACAACATATTGAATCCACTAGACTTGAATATAAAATTATACAGAATTTCATTAAGTTATAAATAAATAAATAATAATAATAGATAAATATTAGACAATATCACATACGTTGTCCTGATCTCAAAGTAAAACTTAAGCACTTGCGTTATGGAAATCGGAAATAACGACGATACCACGAACACCCAGACTCGTGACAATATTTATAAAGATAGTTTTTCTACTTTGACCGGGCCTGGGATCAGACCCAACCTGGTAGATGACACTATGAAAACCGGTGTCCAAGCCACTGGACCACAGAGGTCGTCAAAAGTTGCACATTTTAATGCTATGATAAATACACATACGATTGGGATGGGATATTATTGTACACAGAAGTTCTTAAGCAATTCCTTTTTTTACGCACTTGTTGGGTCTCTGTAATATTGCACTACAATATCCCTCTAAAATGAATTCTCTGTAGTTGATACGCGACTGCATTAAATATTTACAGATGACAACTCGTGCAGCGCCTTCGTGGTCACGAGAAGAACTAAATTTTGCCAGCAAACATTTTATTCAGTCTCTACAAATTTGTCAACATTATGAACTTGTGGTAGATAAGTGTATCTACCATTTCTTAGACTTTCAGTGGAAAGTCGAAGAAATTGTCAATTGACATAACTGGTAAAACGTTAAACATTATTGAAACAAAAATGATGTTATAATATTTATTCTTCAGGTTCCATTTAATTGATGAGTTTTTAATGCTTTATGAATAACTATTCGATACTCCAAAAATAAAAGACGAAATATCACGTTATCTACTAATCATTTCATAAAGTAATTGACAACCAAAACACGTACAGGTCGAACGATAATGTTATAATAATTGAACTAAACTATTATGTAGAATATAATAATATAATATAACTGTAACATGTTCGATTTTTTACATTAAAGACATTATGAAAGAAGCTATTTGGGAAAACTTAACATGAACTAACGAGACCAATTTTTCAAAATATTATCTTTTTTCAATTACATTTTTACTCTAGAGATCAGTTTCTCCCAAACTGTGTAAAAGTTTATCAGAAGACTTTGGTTAGAATCACATAAACATTTAATTAAGTTATCCAATTACAATTTTAAACATGTAAGTACACTGTATCTAACTTTCTTTTTCACGGTAAATATCACGGTCCAGCTTCTAGTATTTATTATATATATATTCTTGTATACTTATGAAATTATAACCTGTAAACCTGGGTTCTAGTTTCACCTTTAAGTGTTTTTAAAGAAATTGTCATAAATTAAACATGGTTCATGATGTGAATATTTAGAGTAGTTGGTAAAAGATGACACTGAAACTTCCTAACAGGTGTTTATACATTTTTCGGTCTGAAATAAGTTGTGTAATTTCCTTGAAATTTATAGTAAACCCTACGCTACTTAATGGTCCAACTACACGGTCTTGCTTCACCGCGAGTAAACTTGCGCATGCCAAGTACTCGTTTGTTTGTGTGGGCGTGTGTGCTATGGAAGGGAAAACGGTACCCGTAGCACGCGGCTTGTACGGATATCGTAAAAAGCGACTGAGGGATAAATGTACGAGATGGACCAGTACCGACTACGTGAATACTGTAATCAACTTTGGTAAATCCTGTATTCTTATGTAAAGACGATTGGCCCCTTTGGATATGTATAATCGCTTCCGAAGCGTATATTGTTGTATTGATCATATTACGTGCAGTTGAGCTCTCTGAAGTGTCGGTGCGACACAATTGGTTATATTACCTAATGATGATTCATAAATTCCCACTTATATATACTAAATTAACTATTTATATGTATAATTAGCTAAGTTCTTTATTTATTTATTTATGTTTCATATCACAGTGTACAGATGCGTCGGCATGAGTCAATGCATAGCGAAAATGGGGAGTTAACTTCGTTGCGATGACTGGTATTTCTGTAATTATTAATATGAAATTAACGGGGCCGATGTGTCGCTGTCGGTTGTGCGAGAAAATCTGTAAAATCACGGACTGTAGGAGGCCGCCGTTACGTTGTCTCTATATTTCAAAAAGTTAATGTATTTTTAAAGCGTCAGTACCATTTTTATATTACACAGAGAAATAATTTCTCCAGTAAGTAACCTCGTAAAATACTCGTCTTACGTACGTCATTAATCTAGCAAAATCCATCCCCATGAATATGTAAAGCAGCCCTTAATATCGATAGTTACCCGCAGTGTGGAGTTTGAAAATCCGACTGCGTGGCGCTCCGAGTGCCACTAAAATTAATGTTCTGCCAGAGAGAAAAACGAGCGGAGCCAAGCGTACCACCAACAACCAGAACTGCTACCCACTCATCGGAGAAATCTTTGTTCCGATTTCAAATAAAATCAGACGAACCGAGTAGCTATGTAGGTTTGAATTACTAGGTAACTTTTGAAATATGATATAACAATCATAGTTAGACTTGTGTACCATAAAGCTTGAGTTTGTAACCACGTTGCGTTGATATACGAATGCGGGCAATAATGGATGGTATTACTTACCATGACAGAAATCCATCAGTTTAGTCACGAGTTCGATTTTAGCACACTTAAGCCATTTCGTTGTAAGGATGCTCGAAAAATATTTTACTCCGCCACATTTTTAGCCCGCAAAATTAAAAAGAAAACTTTACATATAACACTTCGAAGTTACTACCCAACGATCTTTCATTAAATCATAGCTTAATCGTCCAGTAAAGTGAACAATCTAATATCCTATTGAAATGTAAATTTTAAGAATAATTAATCATTTACAATTTACAAAAGAATAAAGTATAAGAGTCAATGTTTTTCTTCACTCGACGTGTAAATCGCGTCAGCTCAATAAAAACGTGGCTCCCAATCGGAGGTAGACAATCGACTACAAAGTTCGCTATAAAATCGTCTACTTAATTATATCATTAGAAACGGAAGTGAATTAAAATCTCTTAGACGCTTCGTCTCTATTGAGTTATAAAATGGTTGTTGGAGAAATTAATTTCGTTCAGTAGACTCGTATTGCATGGCAGTTATTTCACTTTATATAAAGTATTGGATTGCCTCTCTATTGCTAAGTGAGAAAGAAATTAAAATTCGAACAATTCTAAAATTACGACACCTTTACTAGTTGAGGTCAAGATCCAATTTTGGGTCTCCGTGCTAGAATAAGTAAGAATCATAACAAATTATGCATACGCTATAAAACTTGAATGAAAACTTTAAAAGGTATTGCTATTTTAAAGTCTATATAGAGCTATGGTAACAAGATAGACAAACGGTCGTCAAATAATGTATAAAGATGCGAAACGCGCAATATAATTTTGGTTTACTTATTTATTTATGAAACAAAAATTGGACTACTTTTTTATAAGTTTAAAATTAAGTGATATAATAAAGCTCAAATAATTAAATTAGAATACTTACAGTTATTCGTTAATAGGAACCCTGTTGATACTCCCAACAAGACTAGAAAAAACAGTAGCAACAGGACTATCAAGGCTGGCCTGCAATAATGGATCCAACAGTAATCCTCTGAGTTTGCAGCGGGGGCATTCGAAGACCATGCGCAACACTTCCCGCATTTAGACTCCGATGGTGGCGTCGACCGAACCACGGCACTGTTGCCTTGCTGGTTCACTATGACACCTTGCACCGGAGCCTCGCTCCCTTGTCCATATACAGCGTTTTGCTTTTCTGACAACCTAGCGAACCCCGCTTCATCATCCCGTGGATTCCCGTACACTCCGTACGACGCGACCATATCAACCCCGGAAAGCGACCGCGTCGTTTCATTGCCCGCGCTGTCCTGCACGGCATTATTGTCAGTAGTAGGCCAACACTCGCATGAGCATCGGTCTTCCTTTCTTCTCTGTCGTGCTTGTGAAACTTCAGACCTTCTAACAAGCGTATCTGTCTTTTTCTCCTCCTCTTTCTTAATTTTGGCATCTTGAGGAACGTTGTCATGATTGACCTCATAATTAGGTTGTAGGTTTTTATGATTTTCTATATACCAGTGCCTCTCCTCCGCTCTAAGAGTGGTGTCGTTGTTGCCCTCGTAAACATCGGCGTAGTTAGAAAGAGGGTGCGAGGAGGGACTGTAGAGTGGGCCGGCTGTGAGCTGCCCGTAGCCGCGTTCGTACTGCGGCGGACGGCTGTGGCTCGCATAGTAAGTGGTCGATGCAGGCACGTTGTAATCGTAGCCAGACCTGTTCATCTTCAACACTCGATAGCCTCATTTGAGCTTATGTTGCACTGCAGAAACACCATTATGAGCAATTTGCATAAATGGCTAAATTGCTAGATATTTACCATGATGCGATTCACGTTAAACATTAACTGGAATATAGAAGTAGTTGATAATTTCCTAGAACGTCGTTACTAATTCTATATTGATTATAAAGTGAAACATGCAGAAGTGAGTGAGTAAGTCAGTAGACAAACTTCGTTGATTTTGTTACGTGTTACACGCGGAGGCAGAAAGTTATGGAGTAAAGTACACATCTGTTTATCTCAATCACCCCTCTTGTTCGGCGGTGGTATTTATCTTTTGTGTTACTAAAAGCGCTGTTCCATGCACCCAGTAAGGTAGACAAAGAAGTAGCGAATGTAAGCAAATAAACTTATTTATATTAAATTAAATGTATCTACTTATTTGTGCAAATGTGATGTCACATTACGCTTCATGAAACTAAGATATCAAACTAAACAGTACACATTATTTTAGGACGCTGAATAAGATTATTTAATTTAGAGCAACCAATTCAAATTTAATTCACGCCGTAAGTATTAGAACATTCACCTCTTGTCTAAGTCAGCACCGAAGTTGACTGAATCCCTGCGGTACGCAAGGATAATCCGTCCCAATTAATTAAATTAAAAACAAACAAAAGTCATTACGCAAAAGTTGGGGCAAGCAATCCGGGCAAATCGGACTAACAGCAGTCTTTTTTTCTCATTCACTCTAAACGTTTTTGTGGAAAGAGTAAAAAGGGCAGGTGATAAGAATGACTAGGTGCCAAAATAATGATAAAATACTGTTTATATTTAACTGAGGTAAGAACTTTCAACGATTTGAATAATGACGGTTATAACAATATTTTGATGTTTACCATCCGGGCAACCTTCCTAAATTGGGATAATCAGTCACGTACGCTTCTTTTTAAAATATTGTACGTTTTTACCTATACAAAAGTATTCACAGATAGGTTTATTTTAAATTCTTCCAGATAAGGTGCTTTTCAATAAAATTTAACATGAAAAGTCTTAAATTTTGAAGATTAAGCTCTGCTACGTACGCAGTCCGTAGAATACGTGAACTTGCCGATATTGCTACTGCTAGACTAGTTTACTTTAGTTACTTCCATAGTATAATGTCCTACGGGATTCTCATATGGGGTGAAGCGGCAGATATACAAACCATATTTGTGTTACAAAAACGAGCGATTCGTTCTGAGTACCGTTTAGTTTCTCAGGTTTCTCTCAGAGAAAAGTTTAAGGAGACTAGTATCATGACTGCGGCATCGTAGTACATTTACTCAAATATTTTGTAAGGCCATAAAAATATACATAATTTCATTAAGAAAGAAGATATTCATAATATTAACCTTAGAAGTAAGTCCAAACTCATGGTACCACAATTTTGTTTAACTAAGGTAAACGATTCTTTTAAGGGGAACTGCATATTATGTTTTTACAATAAGATTCCGGAGAATATATTAAGATTATCATTTCCTAAGTTTAAAACTTACATTAAAAGTGTTTTAATTGAAAAGTCATATTACAACATTGAAGAGTATGTTTTAGATAAAGAAGTATGGAAAGACAACAAGAGTCTAGTTTCCACACAATTATGATTCAAAGTGCATATAGCATTTAAGTTTATTTGAAAAGAGCAATCCCTAGAGTTTCTTGCTCGCTCTTCTCAGGGAGATCCGCTTAGTGAACGAGCAGTAGCTTTAAATTGACGTTTTCAAGTGTAAAAATTTTACCTATTGAATAAATGATTATTTGACTTTGACTTTGACTTTGAATTCGGCTTTATATTTAAATTTTTTATATTATGTTTTTACCATTAAAACTTAAAACAAAATATATTACACAAGGAGGACTATGATTAAAAAACAGGACACTAGAAGTTAAAACGCAACAGACTTGAACACTGAAGTCGTAACCCATAAAAAGGGCAATGTCAGACGTATTTCTATTCAGGAGATTCCAGTTCCATTTTCCTTCTATCTTTTATTTTTGCGTGATAAAGGAAAAATGTTCGCAGTCACAAATTCATTAAAAATGTACCTTGGGCTTTTAAACAACCTTTTTGTCCGTGTTCTTTGAAAAATATCTTGCTTTATGCAGAGTTATGAATAATATTACTGTTGTCAGAATCGTTATGCTGGAGCGTCATAGCTTAAATGACTGGCGAACAAACACCTAAGGAATTGTTCATCCTCCTTGCTATTTACCTGCAATCATTATACATATTTTTAAAGGGGATGTAATAAATGATCCTTTTAAATTTGCAAAAGCAGCAGGCTAAAATATGTAAACGGTCATCTTTTTTATAACAATAATAAATTAAATCAATGGATATTTTAATCTGTTCTGAGCTACGCAAAAAATTTTTGATTTGTATAAATTAACTTTTATACTTTTATATTGGGTCTCCAAGCTAAGACAAATGAGCATTAAAAATAAAATTTAGATACTTATTTTTAAAAGTAAGTAAATGTTGATTATACTTGTGTGCTAATATTATATTAATTATAATATAATTTGACCTGAAAACATGTCCGGAAACGCAAGCTAATTAGCTTCTACTTTTTCATATACTAACCTAACCTAATCTACTGAATGAACAATCAAGCAACCAAGATTTTTTAGGAGATCAATATCAAAAGATAAATGGTTATGAATGTTATCAATCTTTAAAAGAAAAGATTAATAATAGTGTTACTTTGAATGCAGTTAATTTATAATTTATCCGTAGATCAACTAAATATAGACGGAACAATTAATACATATATCAAACATAAAAAAATATCGTTTATTTAAAAAAGTGCACATTTACAATATATCAAGTATATCTTTGAGAATCAAATACTGTTATCCCTTTTTAAAATAGTTACCCCTGTACATACAAATAAACTTATAATATACTTCCGGACAATAATTCGAGCCACCTCGCATTTTTTACTTAAAGGGAGATGAGTGTGTTTTGCAAATCCAAATTTCTTACAAGGATTTATGGAAAAGACGTTTAGTATACTAGTTTCAAAATTGCTTAATATTTTTGTAATTAATCAAACATTGTTTATGTTTTGGGCATTTAATACTGAAAACTGCCAGGGAGTGTACAACTAACTATACGTGGCATATGTATGAAAGACAAAATTGTTATCATTTAGCTCTGAAAAATATGGTGGGCCTTTTAGAGGAAACTCGTGCTCAGAAGTGGAAGCTAATACTTCAGAACCTTGTGCGTTGAACACAAGAAATCGCGAAAATTTCATCGCAATCGGATGAATAATAAAAAAAGATGTGTTCCATTACTCATAATTTTAAGAGACAAACAAAAAAAATGGTTTTACAATATAAGTTCATTATCTACTTGTATATTACATGTTACAGTACGACCTTAGATATAGATAGAGTACGACGCATAACACGAGCCGTTTGTTATAACAAGAGCGAGGAAATTTTCAAATAATTAAATCTCAAACTCACTAACGAGTTAATATTCAACAATGACATATAAAACCGCCAAACCTCTTCTATTACTGCGAGTCGGCATACCTTCCAGCATATGCAAATAGGTAAAATGCTCAAGTAACCTCATATCTTGAGGCTTACCTGCCTGCTTACGTTATATCAATGATGTATTCAATTGAAAGATTCTGTAAATATTAAACGATTACCAAAATCTCGTCTTCAAAAATAATTAATTTGGATTATGAGAACTTTCCAAAAAGTTCGTATCCTGCCATATCTCACTTGAATTGAGATGCCGTAGTCGTAAATGAAATACTATTATAAAGGTTACTTTTCTTAGATGTATTAATCAGTTAAACTGATTACATTTACTTCTTCGAAATATAAACCGGATTTCGTATAATTCTCTATTGATTCTAAATTTTTAAAGGGTAAATTATTCATATATATTCACTTTGATCTTCTAATGGAAAATTTTATTAAGCTTAATTAATTAAATTACATCATTACATTTATTAAAGAATATAATTGCTTTGATTGAAGTTTTCAATTTCAAGAAACTTATTTTTTCTATTAGGCGATGTATTTACGTACTAATAAAGCTAGATAAGTGATACGTATGCACGTAACACGAAAGCATTGTATGTAAAGTATTTATTATGCTAAGTATATTTTCTATTACATTATCGTATTATCGTAATTTATCTTGAGTCAATCCCAGGATATAAATACTTACCTACAGGGTATATTTGAAACAGATCACCTGAAAATAACTAGAAGTAGAAAAAAAATCCAAAATCATAGTGCAGATTTATAATCTCTGCCTAACCACTCGGAGAGTTCAATTTTGTTAAGAGGGAGTAGAGGAAAAATTCCTAATCTTCGATTTGATTTTAGAGGGGTATATCCACTTTAAAGTTAAAAATGACATATTGTATGAGTAACTACACGATATATTCAAGCATAGACATTAACCAGAAACAGAAAATAATAAAGTTTCCTCGATAGATAAAAATCACGAAATGCCCTCTAATTTTCACATTTTTTCGATTTATCCTCGAAATGCTACAGGTTATTAGGACAAAAATTAGATAATTAATTATATTTATGCATGATCGACAACTGTCACTACAATTTTTTTTTATCCTTTAGTTTTAGAGTGGAATAACTCTAGGCTAAAACGAATTTGGTACTTTTAATGCGCAAAATTCAACATCTCCTGTCGCATGTCATGCGAACTTCAGGCATATATTTGTTCGACAAATTTGGGCGGAGCCAACGTCAGAACTTTTTTGGCATGCTCCCTCTTAAGTAACGTGTCTTCTAAACTATAATTAAATCAAAGTAGTGGAACGTTTTGTGAAATAGCGAGCACTATTTAAGGCTCCTCTTATTGGTTTTACTAAAGCACAGTAATCTCCCTTAATAACTTTGTTAGAAAGGGATTATTTTGACTAATTAGACGGCAAATGGAAATTGAGCTAATAGTTAGTATAGTTTGTGAATTAATTCTGATTTGACAAACGAAATATACCAATTAATCCAAATGTAATGGTTTAGATTAAGGTTCGCAGAACAGGATAACCCAACCAATTTGTAAACGGTTCCAGTTACCGGTTATGGGTAGCTTGTAAATTATGCAAAACTTTACAAGTA